TTGACATTAACACTGCTCTGAAGTATATATATATATATATATATATATATATATATATATATATATATATTTACACATTACCGGCTACGGTCTGCTCCAGTCTGAGAATGATAATTATTATTTTTTTAACTTTCAATATTGGCTCTCGTTGCAATGTGGCACCACACAAGCATTCGTTACGCACAAAAACGCACCTGTGGGCCTTTTAATATTATTTTATCAAAGTTGACATTAAAACTGCTCTGAAGTATATATATATTTACACATTACCGGCTACGGTCTGCTCCAGTCTGAGAATGATAATTATTATTTTTTAACTTTCAATATTGGCTCTCGTTGCAATGTGGCACCACACAAGCATTCGTTACGCACAAAAACGCACCTGTGGGCCTTTTAATATTCTTTTATTAAAGTTGACATTAACACTGCTCTGAAGTACATATATATTTACACATTACCGGCTACGGTCTGCTCCAGTTTGAGAATGATAATTAATAGTTTTTCATCTTTAAATTGGAGTCCCTAAACAGCATAGAGACGATTGACAAACACCCTCACTGGTCTTTTAATTCAAGTATAAATGTGGACATGTACACATGCAAACTTCATGAATATATTTAATTGGGTAATGGTCATAAAAGTGGATCTTGATCACATTTGTGATTTACAGGGTTACCGCTTGATATGGAATATTATTTTTTGGAAAGTAAATTTTCTACAAAATATTTGATTTCTCTCTAACTATTTTAAATCTAATTCTGAGGTGTCTCTCCATGTGTAGCCAGGTGTGTTACCTAATTACCAGACAACTCTCGAAACAATTGATGCATGCAGTTGCATGTTCTGTGGTCTTTTCGGCAATTTCTGCCCTTGTATAAAAACGAATGGGTTTGGTCAATCTTTGGAGTGTGTTTAGAGAAGCAACAAAGGGATCGCTCTGAAACTTGACAGGTACCTTAGTGAAGATATGGTACGACATCTAAGCAACGCAGCTTACTATGGGATTCTTGCTCTCAGAGAAAATGGCCAGAAACAGACAGCCATTGCCAGGTAATTCAACATTTATGAGGAACCGTTTGCAAAGGCCTCCAAAGAAATGCTGCAACAGGGGCTTCTACTCCAATACCTCGATTAGGGTGTATCGCGTATCACACCAAGCAGACAGGATCGCCATCTCCTTAGAGGACGCCGTGCTGGTCGTACAAAAACAACCAGTGTCCTCAGAAAAGAGAGGCAGAATGTCATTCAAACGCCCGTTTCAAGGTCCCTCGTGAACAAGAGATTACTGCAAGCCGGTTATTTTGCACTAAGGCCAGTAGGGAAACCACTGTTAACAGCTGGTCATATACAGCGACGTCTGCAATGGACTGGGGACCACGGGTGTTTGCAGCCAAAACACTGGAATCACGTCGTTTTCAGTGATGAGGCCAGATATGAACTTTTTGGGATTGATGGTCGAATCCGTGTCCACCGACGTGTACGAGGACATAAAACGATGGTTGTGTACTGCCTAGGGTGCAAGCAGGGGATGGTAACGTCTCTGTTTGGGGAGCATTTCATGTCGGTGCCTAGAACCAGTTGGTTTCTCTAGGAGGCAACCTCATCCAGGATTCCTACAGAGACATTCTACAGCAAACAATGCTTTGATTGGTAAGAGTCATCTTCAGGAACAAATCTGTGTACCAAGACGACTGCGCAACCCCACAGTGAGCCCGCAGAATCACTGTTTTTCTTCAAAACCAATGGGTTCAGCAACTGCCCTGGCCTGCAAATTCTCCAGATTTGAACCCAATTGAAAAACTTTGGGCAAAAGTTACTCACAGAATTAATAGCTATGGTCATCGTCCGGTAAATAGTGACGAACTGCGACAGGCAAATATCACTGCGTGGAATGATTTCCCCATCCAAACTCTAAAAAACGTGTCACAGGGTATGCCATGTAGAATGAGGGCGCTGCAAGCGGCTGCTGGAGGTCATACCCGCAATTACTGACTTTTCATGATTTACTGTAGTGAGTTCTTTGACTGTGTAACATATCACTGTCCGGAGGCTATCATTTTCTTAAATATCTTAGCTTAAAGTTAAAGTCATAATAACTCTTCTTTTTGGCCAAAAATACGATTTTCCTGGAAAAAACGGCAATTTTCCCGTACTTACCAATGGTCAACGACCCCATTCCTGCATTCAAAGTTAATCCATGGTTTTTTTCCTAAACGTATGGTTTTTTGTTAAAATCTCTTAAGAGATTTTAACTGACGGAGCCCTCTCTCTGACATGATAGTCACGCGATTTTGAGCGATAGTTTCTGGTGACCTACTTAAAACCGCGGGAAAAGCAGACAACAACAACACTATATAACAATATTATAAGATTCTTGGGGGAAATTTTTTTTTTTTTTTTTTGGAGAACGGACGAAAATCGGTGCGCGCGCAGGATGTCATCCATAAAAATAAAAAAGTGTGGCCTTATTTTCTATAAAAGGAATCATAAACACATCAGGTTACTTTTGCATTACGTAAAAACATTCACCTACACAGAAATACAATTTTGCAAACTTAAATGTTAAAAAAAGCCCTTGTGTCTAAATTTTCTGACCAAAAACATGGTCTACCTCAGTTATGGATAAACCAACAGTAGTAGTCCTCTAGAATACAGCTATGTTCTGAAACATAATCCAAGACTTTCTTGTTATAACACAGTATAAAAACACCAACTAGCTAACTGCTACATATTAATTAAGGAGATGAATATCTTTATGACAATAGCAATATAAAACTACCTTCTCCTTTTTGCTGGATGTGGTGGACTTCTTCTCCTCCCCAGGGTCTCTGTCCTCTGGGATTTCAAGGATGATATTATCATCATTGGGGTCAAGTGTTATCACTGAAGGTTGAGGAATATATGGTCCATGGCCTGGAAAAGTCAGAAAGGAAATAAGAAAAGTCAGTAAGAAAATAAGAACAAGACAGTACATGCTGTCAAATGGACAGACATAAGTATGTCACAACTGTTTGAATAACAGCAAAAGTAGACAGGGGTAAATAGCCATACAATGAAAGAAAGAATTACAGCAAAATATCTTTAATTAAATTTTATGCAAAAACTAGGAATCAAGGACCTTGACCTGTATTGCTGTAGCCTTGCGAAGGACTGCAGCAACATTTTATCAAAGCATTAAGAGTGTATTAAGAAGATTCTTAGAATAAAAGAAAAAATTTATATCTAAACTTTGTCATGAATCAACAAAGTAACCAATTAATCCATTTTATTTTCATATAAAACATGCTTTTTGAGGCATAATCATGTCACATACAATGTACATACATTTATATTTTGTATATTTGTTGAAAGAAAAAAAAAACATACACATTTTATTTACTTCAGCATCCCATATGACGTCTTTTTCCCCAGTTGCCATAGATGAGTTCTTCATTTTTAATGGGAAAGATGCATGGAGAACCAAATCTTGTTACCACTCTCACCATCAGCATCTTGAAAACAGCATCAAAGCAAAATGAAAATAATCAAACACAAGCCTAAATACTTTTATACCATCAGCTTATGGCCAGCCTGGACGTAGGCCTTCATCAGACTGATGTAAGAAGTTGTTGACACTCACTGACCGCTAGGTGGTATATAGCGGCTAGGACCCTCGAGGTTGGCCGTAAGCTAATGGTGTAAAAGTATTTGATGTGTGTTTGATAATTTTCATTTAATAAGTATCCAACTACCAAGCTAATGAACATTTTTGCTCAGCATCAAAACAGCTTACAAGATGATAGTGACAGGCAGACAGTATACAGGCAAGGCAGCTGCCATCACCCTTACTCGGAGCATGAAAGGGAAATATTGGCACCAACGACCAGTAAATATTTACCATTCTTAAAATCCTATTTATTATCAACAAAACATAAAAAAAACTGTATACTTTTTATATTCCTGTTATTTTTCACTTATATTTAAAAAGGATCTGAACATACATGCAAAAAATTCAAAATTACATGTCGATTTTTTTTTCAAAATTTTCATGTATTTTTCTATAAGCCGATTATAATTAAGGGAAAAAAACATTTAACGTAAAATTTTGTAGGTAAAAAAAAAAAAAAAAAACAAGTATGTTTACACTTATTAAAAAAATTGTAAACCGTGACGAAGGTGATCTTTCATTTTGCACCGAAAAGCACTATGTCCTCTAAAACTACTCGCTGCGCCATGTATAAACAACTGGCCGGTGGTGTCTGTGGCCGGTGGTTGCCGTTTCAGGCTTTCAGCCATTTTCTGATCTGTCCTGCTGTTTCTCAGCCTTTAATAAACATCACATTGTAGCACTTACTGGTACATCGTCCATGTCATCGTAAACTACGCTACAAGGCTGAAAAGCCGGTGTTTGAATATTCGCTTGGTCCTGTCCACTATCCACAACCACATCAGATCTCGTGTGTGTTATACTACAGTGTAACTTCTGCTTGTCTTCTCTAGCACATCCAAAAAAAATTAGCAAGGAGAAAAAAAATCGAAGTGATGCGATAGTTGAGATAATTCTTCTCTAACGCATTTCTCTATCCAAAGAGCGTTTTCCTCCATACTTATATGCGTCAATGCTGTGAAATTAATTTTACATCGCCCAGGGAGAAGTCAAACGCCAAGTTAGAATGTATATTTTAAAACTGTATATTGTAAAATGTATTCATTTAAGGATACGTACAGTAATACCTAAATAATACAGCCAGGAAAGAAGACAGAGACAAGAATATTTTAAAAACTCCTGTGTAAAATGTATTTATTAAAAGGAATATTTAAAATCATACACATTTTTCAATGAAATCTTAAACATTTGTATAAAGACATGTAAATGTTGTTATGCAAGCCTTAAAAATGTAATCATATTCAACAGATAAACAGAATCTTCCATGTTGATATTTATGTGTATATACCATCAACATGTATCCCAGTATCTGATGTAAAATATATCCTTTTTAGTTTCCGGTGACATAAGGCTAACATGCACAGATTGCAAACTACAGAAATTCAGTTTTTTCTGAATGGTGACATGAATGGTGGTTTTTCTTTTTCTAAATATTGGTATTATCCTACAGGACATTTACAACATTGTGTCAATGCTATTATTAAATGTATTAGTAGATTAGTAGTAGTAATAGTGAAATGCAAGAAGAGCTTTTGGCCTTCGACTGATCTTTTTTTACAAATGTTTACGTTTTTTAGGTCATATTTTGCCTTCTCATATCCACTAAAAATCTGCTCAGAAAAAAAAGAGGCAGATCATTATTTTTTATTATGTTATTTTTTTTCCTTAAAAATTCCCAAAACATAAACTCCTTAACGAGAATGTAAACTCATTTAATATATTATCCCTATATATATGCTGATCTCAGCTTGTGATTATTTTGCATGGGACAATTGATTTGAAAGTGTTTATATTTGAATACGTTTTCTCTTCGTCATGTGGATACATCTACTTGTAGTTCTTCATTGGGATAAAAAATAAAACCAGTTTCCCTTCCCAAGGGTATTCTCCCATCCTCTGCTAGACGGTTATCACCTAAAAGGGGGGGAAGGCTGCAAACAAAAAAAAAACATGGGTTTTCTTTAAATTTAATAGTTTAACCCACAGCATGCATTGATATAAAAGGAATGAGAATTGTAAACTTGGTTAAACTGTAACCATATAACTAAAATTCTTGAACATTTTTTATTTTCATACTATTATATTCATTTTGTACAGACAAGATGTCATATAGTGTATGACAACAATTCAGTGACAAACTTTTTAACAAAGGCACTACCTCCACATGGTGATAAGAATGGTACTCCACTTCCAGGTGTAGTGAGTTCCCCATTACTTTGCACAGGTGACACTTGGTACACATACTAACCCACAATACCCTCAGTCAGCCCTAACCTAGCTGTACTTTCCACATGGGGCCTAGATATGTTAATCTAGGACTACCATTCCTATCACAATGGTATGGGATACAATTGCCTTTTCTTTGTCAAACCTTGCCAACAATATTTTTAGGTCAATACACATGTAGATTAGTTCATCATACATGTCAGTCTCCAGGCCCATAACCGGGGGGGGGGGTTCATAACTCGTGGTTCAAAAGAACCACCCTTTTTGCTGGGAAAAGGTCCACTCTGGGTAAAATTTGATCTATGTACTTGAGGATTTAATGTTAAAAGGTGCACTTTTTCCGAAAACGAACACCCCCCCCTCCCCCCCCTCTGAGATTGCTGGCTACTGGCCTGGTCTCTTAGATACCATTCCCAGAGATATTGTACTAACTTTGGATCGAACTATCTCCATGGGGATTCTCACTTAATTGCAATCAACTTAAGCGGCTTGGGTGTCTGTCATGCCTAATGAAGCTGATAGGAGTAATCACCTGCAGGCATGCCAGACATCTTAGCCACTTATGGTGAAAGCAATTTAGGGAGAAACCTCGTGGAGGTGGAGCGATCCTGTTAGATCAATCTAAGGATTGGAACCCAGTCTTATTTTACATGTATTAACAATGTTTGTGATGACTAGCACAGAGTATCAATATTTACCTGGAAGTATGGAACAGTGTGCTCTACAAAGTGAGCATACAGGTGAGCCGTAACATGTTCAGAATAAGTTTACAAAATTAAAGTGTATATAAATATTAACCAAGCACCATGATCTGTAAGTCAATATAATATCCCTTTGCTACAAATTCAACATATCTAAATAGATAACCTTGCATTTTTTTCCATGTTGAACAATTTTTGACCAATACTGCCCACAGCAAACCTTGTCTTATACAGTTGCACTTTTGTAAATAAAATATTCGTGACTTATTCATTTTTTTTTTCCAAAAGAATGGTGAATGATATACGAAGTAAGGCTACAGCAAGTCTTTTTGAAAAGGAATTATTCCAAAATCTTCCCGATTCTTTTATAAAATTTCCATTTTAGTCTTATGTTCACTCTGCAAGGCTCACCCGGTCAAAATTTTGTATAATACATCAATTGTTAGCTTCTTTCTTGTACACTATTTTTGTTAAGTAATCCATTTTCAATGTTTTATATCTGGTGACATTTTCAAGTCATATTGTACAAATCAGTTACAAAATGATCAATTAGATAGTAATTTGTTCAACCTGATTAATGCTAATTGGTAGACAAAGGCATTGGATGATATAGAAAAGAACAATATTAATGCTAATTGGTAGACAAAGGCATTGGATGATATAGAAAAGAACAATATTAATGCTAATTGGTAGACAAAGGCATTGGATGATATAGAAAAGAACAATATTAATGCTAATTGGTAGACAAAGGCATTGGATGATATAGAAAAGAACAATATTAATGCTAATTGGTAGACCAAGGAATTGGATGATATAGAAAAGAACAATATTAATGCCCCACTTCTGTGAAGGAAATAAAAGCAACATAATAATAATAATCAAAATATTCACATTTATTACATTGCAAGCATAATAAAAAGGGGATGAAAAAAGTCCACATGTGAAAAGGGTTTGAAATGAACTAAAATAACCAGAGGTTAGTTCCTGAAAAAATTTCCTAGATGATGATGCCCTTAGCAAAGGTTGTTATGGGAAATGATGTAAATTCTTTCAGTAGTTATCAATACCTGAGCCATATTATAAAATAATCTTATACGTTCTCTCTCACTAATCTGAGCAAAAAAATTTCTTTAAAATATCACATTTTATTAATTCTTATGCACACATACCCAGTTCATGAAAAATATTCATAATAATGTTTCTTCAAACAACAATATAATATTGAACTAAAATGCGTTACTTATTTTCATGTAACTCGGAAGAATAATTACCTTGAAATTTCATTATGAAAAAGCACGCCTTATCAAAGTGTAAATTAGTAGTAAGTTATATCAAAATACACCACCTTAAAATAATGATGGAGCTTATAAATCACACACTTCCCATCATTTATGCAGATAAAGAAATTTAGCAATTATGCTAACTACATAATCAACTTAAGAGAAGTGATTTTTTAGTAAAAGTAATAGAATACAGAAAATAAAACTCTAAGTTAAGTTAACACAGAGTCATATGCAATTAAAATACAAATCTATACTAATGAAAAAAAAAAACAAAAAACAGGCACTCTGATCTCAGTAAGCAAGAAAAGCAATTGATATCCCAGATTAGAAGTACATGACAGACTGCACAATAAAAGAATGACTCGGCAATACTCGCAGAAACATGGTATCTGCTTTGCATATCCTGTATTCTGACGTCCAGTGACTGGACACATATTACATGATACCTAGCCGTTCCTCAAAATCTTCACGAAAATGGTAAAAACATAAATTCCAATTTACACTGCTTGTCCCTGCAGGTGATGAAGCAAGTGGTGCAGCAGAAGGTATCCCATAATCCTAAGCTGTGGCAGGAAGTTGTGAAAAGTATAAGAATCTTTACATTCCACTGTCATCACTGAAATGTATATAGTTTAAAAGCACCAAGTGCTAGACCCCAGGTCTTCTTGCTACAACTGTGCAAACAGAAGCAAGAAATGATGACACCAAAGCAGCATTCCACCTTTCCCCTGCATTTAACAGAAACTTATCAATCTCCACTAAGGCATGCTTTTGGAATGAGTAGCGGAGGAACACCATTGAAGCATTGATAAAATAGGTCACCATCTCAGCGACTGCCAGATCAGGTGGGTATCATGAGGCGACATTACCAAAGGTCCCATTGGGAGGCCTGTACAGTTTAGGCAGCGCCATGAGCTGGATACTGTTGAAGGCATATTTGCTGATTCCAGTGTTCTTAAATGTATTGTGCCTCCTCACCCCCTCACTGAAACAAACAGGATGAGTTAAGTGATGAGAAAAGTGATGGGCAAACACGTCAAATGCAACTAGAAAGATATTAATTAATTTATCTATTTATTAAAATTTATTCACTGAGGGTAAAAAAATGATAAATTAAAACTTTATCTTCCCCTTGGCCCTCATCACAAACTAATACAACTTTCAAAACTAACACTGACACTATGTTGAGCCCCAATGCAGATATAAGAATTCTTTTTAAGTTCCTCAGATATAAAATTCGGTGAAGAAATATGATAGGTATTCTAAGCTGGAAGCTGTTTACAGATGTGATTTCAAATGATGCAGATATGGTGAAAATAACTATGGTATTTCTTTTATCTTGGTGGGGAAAAAATAATTGTTCTAATGTAGTCGCAGATTGTCCCTATCTAATCAAGGCCTGTTTTTACCTCCTGAAGCACTCTAAGGCATGCGAGAACACGTGTGGCGCCAGATTGTGCTCCCGCTGGAGAATCTGAACCTGTTCCAGCGTTACAGACATGGCGGTTCTGTCCTTGGCACTCTTACAGCTTGTAAAACGGATACCATTCATGTTGCGACAAATCTGAAATATATTAATTTTGTCAAAATTGCAAGACTGAAAAAGCAAGTGACAAAACATGGAGAAGCACAGGGAAAAGGAGGAAAAAAAAGAGAAATACTGTTATTCTGCTACTCTTAAATTTTTCACTGCAATTACCTTGTTGCTGACAATTTAAAGTTATCCCAGCAGCAGTTTTCACTTTTTCCATATGAAAAGGAAAATGTGGTACAGAAAACTTCAATCCCCACAAAATGATTGGCACAGCCAATGAATCAGGGCAACACCACAACTTCTTATGACATAAAACAAGCTTCAAAGATAATCCTTTCTTTATCAGACAACATGGTATAACAATGAGAGAACTGAACAACATTAAAATTTACAGCTTTACCTCCGCAGATATGTGTAATATTTCCACATTCTTGCTCTTCTTTGAGTTTATGTTGTACTTCAACAGTTTCATTTGTTCTTCAACTGAGTTTGGGCCTGGGTCTGCAAGGAGTGAAGAGCAGACGTTTTGAAATAAGTTCCCCAAAAAAGTTTCCTAATTTAGCTGTGCATTGAACAAATATAAGCAACGTAGTGNAGTATGTAAATGTTATTAAATGGGTAGACAAATAAAACTAGCAGGAAAACAAATATAAAGGAAATAAGTTGGAATATTGTGGTTTGTGAGAGTAAGGAAGTTCTTGTTTAGCGAGAGTTATGGCAAAGAAGGTAAATGTATCTTCTTCCTTTATACAAATATTTGCTAAAACTGCTGAGATTGCATTCCAGTTTGCTGTGTTACTAGACTAGTTCAAATGATTGATCTGGGAAGTAAATTTCCATGCAGAATATTCTGTGATATGCCAAAACTAGAACAAGACTTTTTGTACTGGGGTTTGTTATTAGAATTTAAAGCTTTATGTTACTATAGATTCTAAATGGGTGCCATAAAAAAAAAGTTTGGTTGAAGTATGTGCACTGGAATATCATGCAAAAACCTTGCTTTTATTTGCCTCTAGCTCAGACAGATCAGAAGTAGAGAACCAAGCACCATACAAAGAATGGAGTGGGATCAAAGAAAACTGAGTACTAAAATAACTTTGTTTTCATCCAGGTTTCCATAAAACCGCGAGTTGGAGCCACCCTGGGGTTTGCCCAGTATCTGCCGAAGGAGCACAAGCTGTACTCTCGCGAGGAGCTCTTTGAAAACATGTGCATGGCCCTTGGTGGCAGGGTTTCAGAGTCTATCACTTTCAACAAAGTTACGACAGGTATACTAGTGCTGTTCACTTTGTTTCGCACCATGTTGGGTCAGCATGTAACACACACACACACACACACACACACACACTTGTATTCAATACATAACATATATTGCAAAGAAGTAAATAAACCTCAGTTATTATAATAACTAATCTCATGCCTCATGCTGAAATAGATGCATTTTGACTGAAGAAAAACAGAACTTGATTCTTTTTTATTATTTATTTATTTTATTGTAAAATGTGTAATTATGCTATCATTTAACCATCCTTTGAAATTCAATAGCAGGATGACATAAAACACTCTCTTTATAAATATTTAAGATTTTGTATTGATATTTTCTCCACATTGTTTTGCTTTTTATGATCAGGTGCTGAAAATGACTTGAAAAAGGTTTCAGAACTAGCCTACAATATGATCCGCAAGTATGGCATGGGAGAATCCATTGGCTTGATTTCCTTCGAGATGGAAGGTTCGGACTCCCAAATGATTACCAAACCTTATAGCAATAAGATGGCCACCATGATAGATGAGGTAATTATCTTTAGTATTTAATAATACATGATGATATAACTTTAGTCTCAATTTTTTGTTGTGCTCTAGCGGCATCTTGTATATATTACTAGTCAAATTGTATTTTTTCTTGTACATTCATGTGCACTAATTGCAATACACACACACTTGTGAATTTTTGCATATTTCACTTACATCATTTATTTATTTAATTTTATTTATTTATTTATATATTTATTTATTTATTTATTTATTTATTTTGGCCTTTTAAAGTTTTTCACAACATTGACAAAATGGCAGTGAATGATTGAGCTCATTTCTTGTGTAAATAAGTTCATGGATTATGACAATGATGAAAGACTTTTTAAGCCTTCTGCATGTTTGTAAGGGTGCTTAATATGGAACAGCTGTAGATGAAATTCAAAAATAATGAAGAAATTTTAATTTTGCTTTTGATTTTCAATTAATTATAGGAAGCTAGAAAGATGGTGGCAGAAGCTTATAAAACCACAGAAAAAATGCTCCTTGATAACAGAGAGAAGTTAAAATTGGTAAGTCATAGAATTGCTTGATTAGTCAGAAGGGTATTTTACTGCATGTTGACAGATTGTTTCATTTTGCACGATTTGAGAACATGAAAAGAAAAAGAAGTGGATTAATATATTTTTAGGCAATTATCTTAAAACATTTATGATGTAGTTATTATTATAATTATTTATGCCTTTTTCGCTAATTTTCAGTTTCATTCTCACCAAGTAAAGTACACCATTTGTGAACTATATCATTGGCAATTCTATTTATGCCAAAAAGCTAATTTGTTTTATTGGATTTTTTCAGCTTGCTGAGACCCTTTTGAAACAAGAATCACTGACGTATGAACAAGTGAAAGATCTGATAGGTCCCCCACCGTATGGAGAGAAGCAGACAATTTCCATTGCTGATGACCTTGACATTGAACCCCCAGGACCCCCTCAAAATGCACCTTCGCAACCAGAACCTTAACTGGGGTTGCCGAGATGACTTTCAGAAGCTAACTGAATTCTTCATCCTGTGGCAAAAATTATGAAAAGACCTGAGGAGTCATCTGGTACAATTTCACCTTCAGACTTTTTAAAAGTTGGTTAAAAATTTTGTATGCTGAGACAGAATTATAAACAATGAATTCAGCAGTTAATTGGGGAGGGGCAGGAAACAGTTTATAATTGAAATGAGGAGAGCATAAATGTGTATTAAGTAAGAGACATAAATGTACAATACCAAGCAGCTGCAAGTTGTGTTGAATGCAAATTAGTTTTAATAAAAACAAAAAAAGCTAAATTTGGTATTTTCTATTGCTTTTTATTCCCCAAGTATCAGTTNAAAAATAGCAGTAACCTGTAAAACTGCACCTTCTTCAAAAATGTATAAATGTTTGTTCTGCAAATAATGTATAATCGGCTGTTAAAAGAAAATGGTATATAGACCTTCAGATGCATATAAAACTGAACAAATTTGTTCATAAAGAACAATGAATTACTACATTCATGTTGGTAAATGTTCTCCATGCCTCCAGTTTCTCACACTTAACATTCATGTCCAGCATGTTTGTCTGAAAAACCAAGTTTCAACATGAATATGTTTACTGTTACATCAATTTCCTATTTCATTAAAAAAATTGAAAATTTTGACAATATGCACTCATGCCAAAATAAAAGTTTTCATTTTTGACTTTCGGCAAAACTGACCTATGCTGCCTTTGGACTTCAAGGCAAACTGCACCTCATAATTTATATTTTAAGCTTTTCATTGCAGAAATGAAAAAAATTAACCATTTTTCCCCCTTAAAATTGAACTGGAAAAACCTATAGCTCAATCTTTATTTACTCAAAGAATTTTTGTCAGGTATGCCTTGCCATTTATGAGAAAACTGGCAAAATTTCAGAAAAAAAATCCATTTCTTGGATATATGAGCATCTACATTGCCAAAACCACTTCAAATAGTAAAAAACAATTGCTCCAGCTTTTCTTCTTTTAACATGAAAGTTGCCCTCCTTAATTGGTGCCAACAAAAAATCAGTATATCACTTGGCTCGTTTCAGCATCAAATACTGTGCTAAAATTGCCAAATCCAGCTTGGTAACCAAATGAACTGTTTTCACTGCATGCTTCCTCTGAACTTCCAACCACCTGGCTTAAGTCTTCCCCATGTCCCATCACACTGACAACACCAGTATCAACGGGTCCAAATTGCCTTAACACTGTGTTGTAGGAGGGTGGCAGAGGTGGGTTTGAACCTGGGTTAATGCTCACGGCAGGCGGGTGCACTCCTGTGGAAAGTGGGTGAGTATGTGGGTGCACACCTGTGGAAAGTGGGTGAGTATGTGGGTGCACTCCTGTGGAAAGTGGGTGCACTCCTGTGGAAAGTGGGTGAGTATGTGGGTGCATACCTGCTGCATCTGGGTGAGAACTTATTGCAGGCACATGTCTGCCTGGAATGTATGGTAGCTGTGAATGGTGCGAGTGCGAGGCAAAGAGGTCCTCGTAGGCTGGAGGGGCGTCTAACTCCAGTGACTGGTTAATCCTTGAATAATCAGTGGTGATTTCAAATATATTTTCTCTGAAACTGTTCAGCAGTGGGGATGCGGATACCTGATCTGACCAACCGAATCGGTCTGGAAGAATTTGGAATTGGTTGTGATGGTTTAAAAGCAAAGCACTGTAATCATTTGCCAGTGCATTGTTTGTTCTGTATGCTCTATTCTCAATCATTTCTGGATATATTTCCCATATAGGTGTTCTTCTTCTTGTATTAGACAAAGGAAGACGGTTCCTTTCTAAAATGCCTCGATCTCGTGCAGAAGAATCGGCTTCAATGGGATTATTTGCATCACCATGTTGGGCCAAAGCTATTGGATAATGCAAGTCATTTTGATTTTCCAAAAAGGAAAATGCAGCAGATTCTTCCCCGTAACACCTTTGCTGTGAAACTTGGTGGTTAAAGTGTGAATGTGCACTTGCTTCAGGGTTGTTCAGTGAATTCCCATGGTCATCCTGTGAATTGCCCAGGTTCAGGCCCCTGTTGTTTTTATTCTTATTCTGGATTGCCAAATTCCGTAGGAATCCAACAGCATGAGGATTAACAAGGTACACATTTCTTCCCTCTTCCTCCTCCTCCTCAACCACTTCCTCCTCCTCCTCACTATAGAGAGGCGACACCCTGACCACTATGTTATTATTGCTGTTGTCAGCGCCACTGTCCCTGAACAAAGGGTAATTAGGTGACCATGCTCGAATGCGAAGCTGAGCGTGAAGGAGTTCTCTGGCAGAGTTTGTGTATGAAGCTGAAGAATTGCTATTTTGATTACACTCTGTGGATTTAACATTCCCCATCTAGTCTTTGGTCAGTAGAAGAACACTGTATGTGTGCTGATAAGCAATATGAAATCTGAAATGTAGGGTAGAAATTCTACTGAAAATTTCTTGCAACCTGCCAATAAAATATAAGTTATCATACCTTTGTCTTTGTTTTTTTTTAGTATACATAAGGAACATGAAAGAGCAAGAGTATGATTGCAGACCAAAAAGTGCCACTTGTTATATAATCCAAAATATTTAAATCAACTGTCGCATCATCTACACCAGGAATTGATCCTTGATTTACATTGTCTGACAAGAATCTGGGTTACAAAGACATCAGTTGATATCGTTCAATTTCACATTTCCTTCTTTTTTATATTTTGGAGATATATCACAATGCGCCAGGAGTGCCACAGCAGCCAGTGTCCAGCTGCAGTACATGCTGACAAAGCTGTGAATTGGCCTGCTCACAGGTCACATATATGATATTATATGTCATTTAATTTTAGTGCTGTGTAATTTATACCATTTAAAAGTTCAGGAAATTTGCAATCTAATGGAAAAAACATGAAAACTGAATGATGCAAAGTATAGTTAATTTGATGCCCTGGTCAGTAGTCACACATTTTTGGCTGAAAAGTGAGAACACTTTGGGCATAATATAGCACTAAGCAGTTAAAAAAACTTCTAAATCTTTGTTGCTTGTGGGAATATTTTAAAAATTCCCAAAGAATTGCAATCTATTTTGCATTACCTATTAGTAGATATAAATATTATATTTTTCTGGTCAGTTTGAATTTTTTCTGATATACCTATATTCTGTCATAAAACATCCATCATCACCATCAGTGAATAATTTTTGTATTTTTATCAAAAGTACAGTAAAAAGCAAGACATGCGTACAGTGTATGTCAAATTCTATGCATAATGACCGCCACAACAGCATAATCGATAACAATTTAGTCAAATTACTACATTTGCCAAACTTTTCTTTCGCAACATTTCACACATTAACGTGGACATCAACTTGATGGCACGTTTTGAGATAATCAACAACAACCATAGCGTCACTGTTTAATTGTAATAATAACTCTTAAAATGGATTAACCTTGTTAAGTGTACAATAAAACGTACCTTGAACTTGTTGAATGAAAGGGACATAACGTCTTATACGTGTCACATCCTGAAACTTTACATAAACTTTCTTATTTTTGTTTCCTGTAGCTCTAATGAGGCATCGGCGTCAAGTGTTTTTCATTTTTTGTACGCATGCGCACTAGAAGCAGCGGTATCTTTGAGATGAAGGAACGTAAACAAAAAATATCACCCAAAGATGACTTCTTTTGGCATTGATGTAGACTCTGAAGAATTATGTATGATAGACTCAGGACTTCAAAGTTTAAGCGACGTTCCCATAAGGCAATATAATAACCTGAAGGTATTTTAAGAGATCATATTTTACCTGACTTTAGACGCACTACATTGTTGCATAGAAGAAGTAGAGAAAAGTCAGTGTACTGTGTAAGGCTTTAACTCGAGTTGTTAACACCAAACAAAGTTTGCTCTCAATTTTGTTTTATTTTTTTTTGCGGGCCAACTAATCATACAAGCATAATTATAGCAGACAAGGTTATGTGGAAATTTTATGTACACGTCCCATTTATTTTGTGTACTTCATAAGTTCAGTACAGTATGTTCACCAAATTTTTTGTCTCAGTTTCCATGCAGTCTCACATAATATGCAGTGGAACCATGTGGTTAAGGCCTCATAACATTCTGTGTTAGAAACTCCCGAGGCTACATGAGGTCTCACTGTTATCAAAAAACCAGCATAGCATATAAGGCTGAAAACTGAGGCAACCCTAAATTACAAACCTGGTGTTTTTCTGATCAGTTATGTGGTGACTTTCACCACTGTCTTTTCTATTGGATATTCATACAAGCCTTAGCAAATACGTTCTATAGGATCTTATAAGATCCTGTAGGGTCCTATAGGAAATTCGCCCATTTTTCTATAGAATAATATAGGATCCTATAGGACTTATTTGAAGGGAGATATTAGCTGTCAGGGTTGTGATACCATATGTGTCTTTACTTTGAAATTTGCTTGCTAACACACACATATCTAGATTTCAGAAGACCTTTTATAGCTAATGACTAACGCAGTGTTTTATACTACAGGTGCTGAATCTTCATTGCAACTTTCTTAGAAGGATCGAGAACCTGCAGCTGAGGAGCTTACTCCATCTGGACCTGTCGTCCAATCAGATTGAAAGAATTGAAGGACTCGACAGCTTATCAAACCTCAGAACGCTGAATTTAGCTTGTAATCAAATCACCACTGTGCAGGGATTAGATGGTCTAAGGTTTGGAAGGAGGATTGATTCTTTTTATGTACAGACACAGTTGTGTCTGTTTTATATAACTGTCACCTGTGTTTGTTGTCGCCATCGTCGCAGTGCACTTTCAGTGATAACACGCTCCACCAATGCTCGGTTCATATGTACCTTTAAGCATAATGTATTATTGCATCTGAATTGACAGTTACCTATTTTGATTAACATTTTTTTCTGCTTTTTTGTCTGTACATTTGACAGCTTTGCTGCCTTGTTTTTCTTGAGGGTAAATTGAAAGAATATATTTATGTCCAGAGAATGTTTTTACCAGTAATATTCAGTCCTACCCGACTCCATATTGAAGCTACCGTATTTTATCTTATTAATGAATGAGACTCTAATAAAACCTTTCGAATCTTGTTGAAACATTTAGGTTAAATTGACCCCTTATGCTCATTCATTTTCAGGGCGTTGGTGAAGCTTAATCTTTCCTACAATCACATCACAGATATATCAGGTTTTCACAGACTCCAGGGGAGAGACTACAAGCTTTCTCATGTGGAACTACAAGGGAACCGTATACAGTCAGTACAGCATGTGATAGCCAGTCTGCGAGGTTGCCTGAACCTGAGGAGATTCACCCTGGCACAAGATGGAAGTGATAACCCAGTGTGTCAGATCCCAGGTACATTTGTATTTTGTTTTAAAATTATTTTTGATTTATTTTTGAAAAGGAACATAATTTTTGAGACCTGATGCTTTTTCAGTTTTGCGAGTCCATTGGTGCCCAGTAACACTAATTTGCTTCTTTGAAAGTTGGATAACAGTGTTCCAGGAGCATTGGTGATAATTATTTTTTGTCATTGTTCAGAATTTTTCAACATATAACAGTTTTAAAAATGTTTTTTGATATATATTTAATGTTACCTGAGTTACCTAACCTATGCGTGCATGGGAGGTGGGGATCCATTGTTGAGCATGCGCCATATTGGATCTGCGGACTAGTTAGTCTGCAGATCTAATATGGCTGTGAATGCGACCTTTGAATTAACAGTAAGGTCATGGATGTATTATGTTTAAAGACATATATGGGCACAAGAGCAATGGCAGAGATTGGAAAAATTGAGACCCCAACATGGACAAATTTATAGCAGTGGGAGTGATGAGTATAATTATTATATTTTATGAGGTGTTTTCTTTTTATATTTTCCTGCAGGTTCTTGGAGCAGCATCATGAGTGCAGTTCCACAGTTACAGATACTGGATGGAGTCAACAGAGATGGCACCCCAGTGCAGGCAGCTGATATACTGGCAGACATTCCTGGTAGGTTTTTTTAAAAACATATTTGTTAGTCCATGAAAATTATATAATAGTATGTACATATAAAGATGGCAACTCACTTTAAGCATTGTATGCTCATCTTAAAAGAAGCTAAAAATATAACCAATTTTTGATAGATCTTGTAGATATAGAAAAATATTTCTTACTGGAATAAATTTTGTGCATTTTTTTCAGTTATCAGATATAAAGTTAATTGTACCATATTGGGATTTTATAGCAACATGAATTCTATGAGATGCTTCTCTTCTGTTATTTTAGGACTGGATCAATACATGGAGTTTTTGTTGCCATCAAGCAGCAATTCTGTAAGTGCACAATGGAGGTGGAAGAAAAACATCCAGAATAAGAAATGTTATTGTGACAAGTTTTAAACATGTCATTAACAATGTCATTGTGTTATTAGCTTTAAAATTAGATAAGTTTAATTATTTGTATTAATAAGGGAAACAGCTGAATGATAAAAGCTAGATGAAATCTGTTTACAGATCTTAAAAATTTAAAATCTAGAGATTCCTTGTTAAAATCTATAAAGGTCATGAGATAGGGGGAAACTGTTGCTCACTTTACTTTCTGTTTTATTTTCAAGGACATGGATCCTGTTGCACTGGCTACTCCACACATTGATGAAGCTCTGGAGAAGTTCAAAGAGAGGGCAGTCATGTCCACCTCTGAGGTCAGTACCAGCAGCACCACCACTGACCAGGAGACTGCACAGAGAGAGGGGCAGCGGGACAGACTAACCAGTGGAAACAAGGTAAGAGAATTTGTGAGATAGAATACCACAGACAGAGGGGCAGTCAGGGAGACTAACCAGTGGAAACAAGGTAAGAAAAGTTTGTGAGATAGAATACAACTGAGAGAGAGGCACTCAGACAATACCCAGTGGAAACAAGGTAAGAGAAGTTTGTCGGATAGAAAACCATGGAGAGAAGGGCAGTCGGACAGATTACTCAGTGGAAACAAGGTAAGAGAAGTTTGTGAGGTAGAATACTGCAGGGAGAAAGGTCTGTAGACAATCATATTTGCACTGCTCAATCACATATGGTTTTATTTTATTATTATTATGAGTGCTGAGATTTGACTCAGAACATAAAATGTATTATATAATTATACTATTATCAGATAAAGTTACTACTTTGTGCTACAGTGTGAATTATACAGCATGATCTTCAAACTTTTCCAGTTCTTTTCATAAATGAAGTTAATGTAGACTGGTCTGTGGTTATATCTGTATATTTATCAATCTTAACATATCCAATTTGCCATTTTACCTTTGTCAGAGTTAAACTTAAATTGAATTTATTGCTTCTTCTCAGAGTCCCATAGGGTCTCGGCTGTCCATTGATCATGAGCTGAGACTGGAGAAGTTAGAACACCAGCTAGCACAGGTGTTATATGGAGGAAAGGTAGGGTGAGAACCTGAACACATCTCTCTTTATTTTTCATTTTTGATCGGTGACTGCTGTTTTTTATCTTTTTTTTTCTTTGTTATTAAAAATATGTTTTGGTCCAAAAAATGTGAAAGTGTTTAATGATTGCAAACAAGGATATTTGCAACTATTTTTAAATTAGATGAGAAAAATTTTGTCTGTAAATTCTTTTTAATTACATTTTTTTAACAAAACACTTGACAATAAGAATTTCAGTTTTTTTCTTTCAGAATTCACAAAAATGTACATTATGTTATGTTTCAGAAATAAAAGGTCAGTAATATTTTAAATGTGATTTTATTATCAATACCTTACCATTTTTGAAAAGAGACAAAGCTGACATGAACATTTTCATAATGAGATTATATCTTTATTTAAGTCAACTAGGTCACCAAAGGTCACTTCACCAAGGGCACCCAAGGTCAGTCCATTAAGGTCAAGGTCACCTCAAGGTGGAAGTAAGACAGCTAGATTGGTCGCCAAGAGAGGTGTGTCTGAAAAGAGAGGAAGTTAACCTTTTTAGTGATTAACAATATAAAATACCAAGAAACTGAGTGTAGCATACAACCGTGACTGTCAAACCTAGAGTAATATATTTTTTTTAAGATTTGGTTTATGCTGTAGCAAAAAAAGAGGAAAGAGTAAGTGTTGTGTAATTATTCTGTCCTTTGAGCTTTCCTTGTAAATGTGTGGACAACAGCACATGACAGAATATCACATCAAACTGGACTGAAATCAATCAATTAATTTGTTTGTACCCAGTTGGTGATGATTTTTGATGAAGTGCCTAAAATTGATAAGTTTGAATGAGCAGGTTTTTTTAGGAATGTATGTAATCTTACAGATGTTGACCAAACTGACGAGAGCGACAGTGAGGGCCCCAAGGCTGCAGGCAAGTCTCGCAGGTCAAGGAAGACGAAGATTCCAAGTTATCAGCGGGCCACGGTGGCCAGCAGGGAGAGGGAGAGAAAAGCACAGTCATCAGGGGTCTCCTCTAGGTAACACAGGCCATTCAACCTCCCTGTTAAAGAACATGGACTTGAAATATCTTACACATTTTGTTCACCTTTCGAAGTAATATATATATAGAGAGAGGATATTTATTTGGTTTAATTAGTACCACCAGCGTGTACGCTGGCGGTACTCATGGTTTTAGTCCCGACCTGTCTCGTCCGGCTCCGCCGGCTCCGTTGGCTCCACCGGCTCCGCTTACTGGCGCCGGATACAAGTCACCGTTACCGCTTCTCCTCCTAGACCACAAGGACCCCTGTCCCCATCTCTTGGATTTAGGTCACATATAACCTCAACTTGAACCCCCAGGTTTTTTTGTCTCAGTCGGTGCATTGACCTGGGCGTGACGCTCGTTGCAATGCACCCTTGTCAAAATTTTTGAAAATTCAATGCCAATTATCTACCCTACGGAAGGAATTATGGGAAAAATTTCTCCAGACGGCTTTCCAAAAGTCATATGTGTAGATTTCAAATATGCCCTTGGATTTGACCTTTGACCTTTATTTCAAGGTCAAACGGGCCAAAATTTTCAAAAAAATGAAATTTTTTACGAAAAAAANATTCATATACTATGATATTGAAATTGACCTTTGACCTACTTTTTCACCATGAACTGAGCTTTGCATATTTTCTTGCCTCTCATATCTTTAAAACTAGCAGAGATGTGCCCATTGTTTCCCCAAGGTTTTCTCTTTTGTCAGCATATATGCACCATTGACAACACATTTCAAGGAAAACCAATAGGCCTTTTGTCTAGAGAATACAGTAGTGATCAAGGGTAGGAAAATGCAAGTCAATTCGAAAATCTGCTTGATTGTACCATTTTTAGTTATATTTTTTTGCATATTTTGAGAACTCTTGTTGATTGCATCTTATAGAGCTTCTCAAACACAAGACTGGTGATGGTGTCCCTTTTAGGAGGGGGGGGGTCCATACGAATGCGCTTACTCCAGCTGGTGGTACAATATCCGGAGGCGGTATCGCCTCTCTGATCCTCTAGTTTAGTATTGTATTCTGAAAATGTCATTGTGTTAAAGTAAGCCAGCCATGTTTGTGACTGCATGCAGTTGTTTATAAGTTTGGGAATCTTATCTTTCTCTGTGAAGTTTTTTTAAAATGTCGTGAATTAAAAAAAACATTTTGAACAATTGCTCTGTGCTAGATACATTACCAGCGTTATCATATCTCAAATTCAGATTTACAAATTTGTTTTTAGTTAAAAAATACTGTATCGTTTTATTTTTCTCTCCCCCCTAGTCCTAGTGGTGAGGACCTCACCCAGCCAGCCCCAGGGTCTCCAGTATCAGGCCCCAGGGTTCTCAGCCAGGGAGAGGGACCCACCGCTTACGCTGCTGACAGGCAGCTCAAGTCAGAGATAGAGGCTACATACGTGGTACTGATTGGAGAGAATTTACATTTTGTCTCATGGTTTTATATTCTTTCCTCTGCCATTGTCAGTTTGTTGGTTATGCATAACTCAGAATTTTGTGGACAGATATACTGATAATATTTTCAGGGCATGTCAGAAATAGGTTACCTTAGAATTGATTAGATTTTGGAGTAGATCAATGTTCGATTAATAGAAAAATTAATTAATTAATTAATTAATTAATTTTGAGAATTGAGCTGCCTAGTAAAAGGTCTCAGGGTGAGACTGCAACATCGGAATGTCATTGAATATTACCATATGATTTTACCAGAATTGGATGTGTGTGTGTGTGTGTGTGTGTGTGTGTGTGTGTGTGTGTGTGTGTGTGTGTGTGTGGAGAGAGATTTCTAGATCGTTCTGTGTTCTAAACTTGACTACCTGTAACAGGATTAGCTTTTATATGTGATCCTTTTGACTTTTGGCAGCAATTAATGCAGGAACTGGAAGGTGAAAGAGAGAGAAGATGGAAGGCAGAGCAAGCCACCAAGAAACTTGTTGATCATATTCAGAGCATGAGAACAAAAGGTTAATAGGACTTCTAAGTCAACACAAGCATATTTGAATAATTTGAAATAAATAATAAAAAATTTTTGCACATTGGAATGCCAGGTGCTATCAATCGTGATTTTTACATTAAATTTGATATTATTGCTACCAGTAAACGTCGTTGTCAAAAAAATGCATATTTTCTCCTTGAAAATGTATTTAGAATTACTTTACAATATTGTATGGAATGAAAGTGTGCTTAGAAGATTGTATTGTATTGTATTGTTGTATTATGAGACAGTGTAGAAAAAAAATTCAAAATGTTGATCCACGCACCAGATCAGAGTGAATGCTTTGAATCAATCTCTATATATCTTCTTCCTTAGCCAAAGAAGATCACGATCTCCAAGATGTCGCCATCCAAGCAACCACCAGGTTAAAACAAGCCTTGACCAATGAGAGAGAAGCCAAGCTGCGCCTTAAAGAAGAAGTGGACAGTTTAAAGGTAATTTTTTTCACAAACTAGACGAGAAGTGTGCAGTGATGTACATTATTCAGGTGAAAAGATTGGCTAGACTCGAATGGATGCTTTAAACTCATACTTAAGCTCATCCCCATGTTATGTAATAATATATAGTGCAATAAGCAGCAAAATATTAATTTATATTGCTGTGAAAGTATATTACTGTGAAAGCCTCTCTGTCTGGCAGCAGGACATGCATATTATTAAATTTCATAAGTATCAACGTATATCATTAGTATAACAAATACAGCTCATTTGTGGTTTGATTGGATGGTTAAGATCATATATTGTTATACTTTTATGATCAAAAACAAAGTCTGATTTTGCTCTCACTTGGGCGGGTCATTATTTGTAGCACCAAGTGAAAGTGATGACAGAGAAGCTGGAGGCTGCAGAAGAAGGGGAGAATAGACAACACCAGGCATTGAAAGCCATGGAACAAACTACGGCCAGGGCTGAGACTGAACACATACAGCAGCAAGCACATGAGGTATGCTGAGAATATATATACACGCATGAAAGCGCACCTTCATGTCCCTGATATTGGGTAGTAACTGTGGGTTATCATCTTTGAAAGTCTGTCAACATATTCCTATGTGTTGGATTACAGTAGGGGTTCTTTCATGTGAAAGGGGATGGATTTGTCTTATAATAAGAATCAATTTTGTGTTTCCATACATTGTGTGTATTTAAAACTTTTTAATTCTTAGCCAAAAATGACACTAAAACAGCACAATTACAGCACACACACCAGAGAAAACAAAAATTGCTCTCACATTAGTCCTCATATGTCTAGGTTAAGAAAACCCAGGAAGCTCTGGCCAGAGCAGCAGCAGCCAGTCGTGAGGTGGATCTCTTGAAGAACTCTGTAAAAACTCTGAAATCTCAAGTCCATTCCTTGCAGGAGTTGGTGGCCAATAGGGAGCAGGAACATAGGTAAGGAATACTCTTTATGCCTTTACTTGAGGCCAGAGGACTCTTTAACAAAAAGTGTATGTTTTTTGGCCGAAGTCTAGATGACTAAAATCAGATAGCCAACTACATGAAAGTGGAATTGAGAAACGTTCTTTTCAGGAACAAATTGTCAATTGGGAAAGACAGAAAGTAATAAACCTCATTGACAAACAGATTTGAAAGTATTCATCAATATTTAAAGAATTAGAAATAGGAAAAGAATTCAAATATCTATTTTGGAGTCATGTATTGTTTTCTTAACATGTGTTAGCATTGCTTGATACAAAAAAAAAATAATAAAAAAAAATGCACCACCCCCACCCCACCGACCCACCCATCAGACAAAAGTTTTTTGTCAAATTTCATTCTCTGCCAGGAAAGTGTTGGAAGGTAAATTTGATCTAAACAGCAAGGAGATGCAGGATGCAATTGCCAGGGAAGTTTCTACAATAAGAGAGCAGCATTCCAGCCAATTACAAATACAACAAGAAAAGTGAGTATAAAATAATCTTCGTTTCATCTGTGTGTGTTTTCTATGCATGAGTGTGTGTCATTTTGTAAAAGAGAGCATATGCTCATATGTACATGCTATGTACATACTTGCATATGTACATACTTATGCTTATGTACATACTTGGAGAAGACCATGATGATATATGCTTTATTGGTTTTTAGGGGGTTTTGGTTTTTCAGTGAAATGCAAATACTTTTTCTCGATATGTACATCAAATAATACACTGCCACCCTCTCATAATATACACTTGAGGTTTTCTGGCATATATCTATCAGGTGACGTTGCATATGTCACGCACAGCATATAATTTTGCAGTAGATGTCATATTCTGCAGATGTCATTGTGGAGAATCGGCAACTCCTTTATTACATGCACTTGTGCATGTGTGTTTTCCATCATAAAGTAATATTGCTTTTTCGTCTTCGTGTTATATTCTCCCCAGGGAGATGAAAAAGAATTAGAATGGAAAATGATACATAATAACCAGGCATGAGTTTGATTACACACAAACACACACACACACACACACACACACACACACACACACACACACACACACACACACACACACACAACATATATTGTGAAGAAATTAAATAAACCAATATTATTATTATTATTATTATTATTATTATTATTATTATTATTATTATTATAACACAGGATGGACACACTGATGAAGCAGTACACAGAGCTGGAGGATGAGTTCAGAATGGCTTTGCAGATTGAATCAGACAGATTCAGAGAGGTAAAGACCGAATTACAGGCTGGTGTGACAGAATAAGGAGCTTTATATTATATACATTGAGTTTAGCATGAGGCAACCAGACAAGATGTATGCCAAAATTTAGAATTTTACTGATAATGTTATGGTAAGTAGAGCTGTAACCAGTGAAATTATCCGTATTGGAAGTCGAACTTAAAGTATCCGGTAAGGACTTTGACACAGGTCCCCATAAGTTTTGAGTGATATCCTTTCTGTAACTGAAAGTTTGTATCACTGTAGTTAATGCTGCAATTTGAAGCAGTTAAATTCACTGACATAAGAATTTGACAGCAATTTAAGAACCTTGAGTGGCAATGCCCATGGTCCTTCTGTAGGTAATAATTGGTCTCTTCTAAGTTTTTTTTTTTTGTATGTTTATGTATTTTTTTTTTTACTTTAATTAGAATTACATCAACTATACTAATTAAATTTATTTCCCTGCAGCTTCAGGCAGCCTTTCAAAAGAATAGCCGTGAGGCAGCAGAGAACACACAGGCTTTGTTGGTTGCTCAGAAGAAGGACGAGACACAGACACAAATGATAGCAGATCTTACTGCGGTAACTTGAATAGAAATTGTGACAGTACTTTTGGAAAATAGGGAATTTGTATTCTTACTATACTTCTACCATTATGAACAGTGAGCACTATAAGGCTGCTGGAGAGAACAGAATACTGCAATTCATTTGAGTGGATGGGTGAGTGGGGTGGGTGAGAGAGAGAGAGTGAATGGGTGGGGTGGGTGAGAGAGTGAATGGCTGGGGGGGGGTGAGAGAGAGTGAATGGGTGGGTGAGAGAGGGTGAATGGCTGGGGTGGGTAATAGAGAGTGAATGGCTGGGGTAGACAAGAGAGAGTGAATGGCTGGGGTAGACGAGAGAGTGAATGGCTGGGGTGGACGAGGGAGAGTGAATGGGTGGGGTGGGTGAGAGAGAATGAATTGGTGGCTGGGAGAGAGAGCAAGTGGGTGGATGGGTAAGTGGGTGGATGGGGGAAGATAGTGAGTGGAATGGAGCCAATGATGCAGTTACTACTGGATTAACAGAATTTTTAAAAACTTTCAACCACATATTAAAGTTAACCTCTCCAATTGACGTTAAAAGCATTGCTTAATTACAAATATAGAGAAGGTATCTGATATTTTTACTAATATATTGTTTTATTTTCCTCTTCTTACAGTTGGTAAAGGAACAAAAAGGAAGACTGACTGAACTTTCAAAATCCAGACAGGAGCAGTTACGGGAGCTCAGGGTATGCATGTGGTGCTAATGATTGGTCATTGGTCACTCAGTGATCCTTGAACTAAAGAAGATTTTTTTTCCTTTCCCTTAAAAATAATGTCAACTTTAAGTTTACTGGTCATTTTTGCAAACAAGTTTTTCCTAATATCTTGATTCCACATGGTACAGAAAACATCCACTGCCATTTCTTTAACAGTTGGTTTAAATGCAAGAAAAAGAATGCTTTTAAAACAGTGGTGAGGATGGGGATTGTATATTTTATGGTGATTAAAACAACTGTATTTTCTGTGGTAGGAATTTTTTTACTGTGAAATGATATGTGAGTAATTTCCTCCATCTCCTACCATATCACATAAGTGAGGAGGGGGACTGAATGTTTTATTTTGATAAGGAATATTGTAAAAATATTTCTGTGGTAGCATTTTTTACTGTGAAATGATTTGTGAATAATTTCTCCTCTATTTTCAACCATATCAAACCTGTACAGGAGAGAAACCTTACTCTTGAGGGCCAAGTAGAAGATGCCAGAAAGAAAATGGTTCAACTCGAGCTACTGAAACAGGTATGTGTGGCTGACGTGAGGACATTTCTGCTTTTATCTTGGTTTTGGAATGCTGGACCAAAATAGTATTCTGTGTACAAGCCATAGGTAGATAAATTGATGGAGTGCAAGCACAGGGTTTTTTTTATTCTCCGTCCTTAAAATGATATTTTATTTTTATTTTATATATTGATTTTTTTTTTAATATTGAATGCTGCAACTATAAATAGAGGCCCCAGTTTCACACACACACACACACACACACACACACACACACACACACACACACACACACACACACACACACACACTTTCTCTGGCTTAGTTGACTAGGATTTCCATGGGAGTGCTGTGACACAGTTCCTGATAGGGTAAGATGTGGACATTTGACCATAAAATATTGGTAATTAAGTTTTTAGCCAGCGAACCTGTCTCAAGTTTTTTTGTTTTTTTTTTGCCAATCTGGGGCCTGGTCATTGTTCACAGGTAGGTTATGGTATGTTGTTTAATACAAGCATGCATTTATTTCTAGGAAAGAACCAAAATGCAATCCCAGATCCAGGCGCAGGAGTCAGTTATAGAGGGACTGAAAGCAGAACGCAAGCTTTGGGGTCAGGAACTTGCTCAACAGGGGTCAGCATTGGCGCAGGACAGGGGGCGGCTGGAGGCCAAGATAGAGGCACTCACCTCAGAAGTCAACTCTCTGAAGAAACAGTTAGATGTGAGTTTTGGTTGGGTCCTCTTTTATATTTGATTTTAGACTTGAATTGTATGTCAAGTTTTTACCAAGGTGTGAAAAAATTTTTTTCAATATTTTTTCATTTAAACTGCTTTAACTAAATTTTGTTTTTCAGCAAATCATCAGTACATTGGTGAATTCAAAATAATTTTTCATTTTAACTTTTTTTTCTGCTATTACTAAATTTTGTTTTTTTTTGCCAAATTGGCAATACATCGATGAGTTCAAAATAATTTCATACTTTAAGTTACTTAGGGCTAGGCTTAAGGCTAGTATAGGAAGAAAAACATTCAAACATATTCTGACGTAAAAATTCTAAACCGTGTGAGATATATTATATTATATTATATTGTATTGTATTGTATTGTATTCCTTCAGAGAGAAGTTGATGCCCTGAAGATAAAATCCAAGATGCTGGACGACCAGACAGAAACAATACGAAAGTTGAAGGATGCTCTGGTGGAGCGGGATGAAGAAATCAAGCGAGCCAGAGACGAAGGACTTAAAATACAGAAAGATCTGGAGTCTCAGCTGACGTCTGAGACTTCAGTGAATCAGGATTTGCAGGTACACGGACAATAGATGTGTCTGGCATAAAAAAGGAAATGTTATTATTTTGGTCATTAGGATCCTCTCGTTTCCTGGCAGAAAGAGAGAAAGTGGGTGGTTGGGTGGGAGAGAGTAAGTGGATGGGTGGGAGAGAGTAAATGGGTGGGTGGGAGAGAGTAAGTGGGTGGGTGGGAGAGAGTAAGTGGATGGGTGGGAGAGAGTAAATGGGTGGGTGGGAGAGAGTAAGTGGATGGGTGGGAGAGAGTAAATGGGTGGGTGGGAGAGAGTAAGTGGTTGGGTGAATAGTTGAAAGATTCCTCGTACTGCCAAACAAAAGTAGGCAGCCTTGGACATTATTGAGTATTTCTCCAGACATGCTGAAAACTTGTGAAAACAGACAGACATTCAGATGGGCAGGACCGTACCCCCCCTCCCCCCCCCCCCCCCCCATCAATTTAGTTTTCAAGTTTATGAGCTGATATACATTATTGATATACATTATTTACTTAAATTTTATTAGATGATACTTTATTCATTGAACAATAAAATTATTTTGTTGTTCATTTTAGTACTTGGCAAACAAACCTGCAATGAAAGAGTTAGGTGCTCAACTTATTCAAGAAGACAAGCATTGTTAAAAATGTTTGATATTTTTATACATGTATATAATTTGAAAGTGACTACCATGTGGCAAATTCTAAATAGCAAATCGCCAACTTGAACATTCTAGGAGAAGGTAGATAAGCTGACAGAGAGGAAAGAAGAACTAAAACAGCAGGTGGCTGACTTGACAGATGAATTAGAAGAATCCAAAAAAGCTCACAGGTTTGTAAATCAAAGCTGATTTCAGCAGCTGTTTGTTGCTGGCTGAATTTGATTTTGTATCTGTGATGATGGTTTCTATTTGTGAGCATTGCTGAAATCTAGAAGTGTTGCTGAAACCTGAGTCAAACCCGGTTCTAGTATTATCGTCATCCTTTATATGGCACATGCATGTGCACACTTCTGATGATATCTTCTGTCCTGTTAGCAACATTATCATCATCATTATGATTATTATAGATATGCTGTAGGTGTCTCAAAGTGATATCATTATGTCTAAATATACTGCAAATTGGAGTTACTGATCATTTTCAATTCAGACCTTATATATTACAAATGTTAAAACCCGTGTCAATACATGTGCCTGATGCCAATTCTTTCTAATTTGTACAGGAAGGCTAAGTGGGTCAAAATATATGGAGGGCCTTTTCACTTTCATTATAGATTAGAACATGCCATTGTGTGCAAGAACTTTTAAATGGTGATTTATCTATATATATATTATTATTATTAAAATCACACAATTATCAAGATTTAAGATTCAGTGAAACCCTTCAGTTTTATCAATGGCATCAAAGTGCGATACAGGTCAGACATAAAATCCTGTGACTCTATTCCCTTGACTTTGGAAGATTTGGTGGACAGGTAATGATAAGGGTTTGTTTTTGTAAGAATTAATCATTTACAGAAAGCATGTGTTTCATGTCTAATTTTAAATTATTTAGAAAAAAAAAACTAAATCTGATTTTATTGCAATCAGTGAGCGTCCCCGCGGAGTTGGATCGATCTGCGTAAACTGATAGTTGCATTGGGAACGTGCCATAAGACTTATGATTCAAAATTGGCCATGAACATTTTCATCAGAAACCATATTCCCATGACAGCATTAATGCCTTGACAACCAACACTTTTGATATAATTGTTGAATTATCATCAAGTTAATACTTTATTATGGATAATAGAGGAAGCACTTGGTAATCAGCGACTGTGTATAATAAGATCCCTGGAAACATATTCAGATAATTCACACTCAATCCATAGTAGTTACACAACTGTTGGTACTTACTAATAGCTTAGTATATTACTGGCATTATCAATTGTATTCTGTTTTAAGATATGCAGTGTTGACAGCTGGCAAATGTAAGAATTTATCTTTTAGAGCTCAACACACTAGTTATAATTATTATTATTATTATTATTATTATTATTATTATTATTATTATTATTATTACTGTACTGGACTTAAAGCAATCCTCAATTTCACAACAAATCTTGGAACAGTTGTATTCAAACAGCATGCGACTCTATTTGGCAGACAACCATATTTTTGTCTGAAACCAGTATACAGGACCTCACGATTGTCATGCTGCATGCAACTTACACAAGGTCGTGTTAGGACATTAGGTCTTTTAACATTGAATAAAGATCTGATTCGCTGGAATTTTGGCAGATAGGTCATGTTCAGCAAACATTCACAGTTTTTGTAGAATATCAAATTACATCATTTATGTTGCCATGGTTTAAGCTCCTGCTTGCGTCACAGGTGGAATGTTTTTTAATTACCAAGGTGCTTTAAGGCTGTCTTCAGATCAGTCAATACAAAAAGGTCATATCTTATGAAAGTACAAGCTTTGCCTCGTAAAAGATAAATGGCCTGGTATAAATTGTTGCTGCACATTTACTGAAAGTTTGTATTTTACCATGCAATTGAGGCCCCTGGCAAATTTTTTGAAGTTGTGTCTTTCAAGGTTGCTACAAAGCTACATGTTTGCAGCTACCTTTTTTCCCAAATTTGCAGACATAGGTCCTGGCAGACCTGATTATCAGACTTGCAAACAATTTTGTCTCTTGTCATTTTTAACCTAAAAAAAGTTTCCCTTAACTAAATAAGCAGTGGGTAGTGGTATAATGGCAAAAAAAAAAAAAAAAAAAAAAACTCAAAAAATGATTTTGCATATTTGAGGCATATTTGAGACTTGTACGTTGTACAATTTCATCTCTTTATTTGTCGTTTATGACTCTTAAAAGTTTCTGTTAACTAAATAAACAGTGGGTAGTGGTTTAACGGCAAAAAAATCTCAGAAAATGATTTTGCATATTTGCGCCATGACCAACAGTGTTAATACATAGCAGTAAACAAGCAGTGGTTATTTTTGTGTTACTTTTGTTGCTGTTCTGCTCTTGAATTGCTGTAACAATTTTATGCTTTATTTCAGTATTCTAAATAAACGTTGGAAGGAAAAGTCTGAAGTGATTGGTCAGCTGGAAAAACAAGTTCGGCAGATGAAAGATGTTTGGGAGAGCAATGAGAAGAAACTAACTGAAGAGAGGGATAAAGCTATTCAGGGAGCAAGGTAACACTTTACTACTCCATGTAAACATACTTTGAACTCATTCAGGGGCGGATGGAGGCCGTCTTCTGGAGGACCGTCATGATTTTCTCAATATTACATTGATAGGAATTTAATTTTTCCAGTGTATGAAATGGCCGCCAGCCCGCCAGCCCGAGGCTGGTAACTTTCAGGCCGGGCGGGTAAGATTTACAAATTACCCGCCCGACGGGCTGGCTATTTTTACAGCCTATATTCACCTTTTATTTTGTCTATGTTCACAAGCGATTTCAGCAAAATATCAAATCAACTCACTGTTTTCACCCACTTTCATAGAAGCAATTAAAGAACTAACCATAGCTTGCAATCGAACGCTCGTATCGAAATGTAACCAACNCATTTCAGCAAAATATCAAATCAACTCACTGTTTTCACCCACTTTCATAGAAGCAATTAAAGAACTAACCAAAGCTTGCAATCGAACGCTCGTATCGAAATGTAACCAACAGTCTCCCTCTCAGTGGCCTCGTTTTCAAAGTGTGATATGAAGTTGAAAGACAATTTGAAACCAGGCACATTGATTTTAACCAAGTTCAGTGCACAGCAGATAATGTTACGTCATTGTTTTGTGTAGAGGAGATACCGCGAATAGCAATTTGTAGGTTGAGAGTAATAAAAATGTGAAAGTATAAAAAGTTATGATATTGATTAAATAGACTTACAGGTACATGAAGTGCTTATAATCAACAGTAATAAAGGCAACGGAGGCAAATTAAAGGAGAATTTTACAAAAAAATTGAATCCCAAAATTAGGAGTGAACGTACGAGTTTACGCCGTGCATCAGATGTAGTTCTTTTCCCACGTGCTTTCATCTTGGGCTGTCAAAAATGAAAAAAAATTCTATCAAGTCCCATAGAGAAGTTCACAAAAGAAAAACAATTGAGGGAAGAAATAAAAATAAGAAAGATTACGACAGAACCAAACGAAAGAGAACAAATTGGGACCCATGGAAAGGTGACTTCGATTTGCAATGAGTCGAGCGGCAACATTTTTTGTAAAACTGTAACTCAAATGTATCACGCATTGTGACCAAGCGCAAGCATCTCGATCCAATAACTCGCCCATACTCACCCCATATAATATATTGTAGCCTCTGTGTGATAAAGCTTTTCTCAATAAGCAATGCTTTCNTGCCTACACCCTTACAAATGATAATAATAATTAACTAGTCCATTCCATAAAACAAAAAGCTTAAGAGTTATTGGTCTTCTCCGGACGCCTCTAAAAGACAAATCTTGGTTATCGGCCTTTCAAAAATACCATGGGCTGTCTTTACTTCAACTGCGCGCACAATGTTGTCGTTTCCTGCACGGGTACCAGTTACAAGTCCCAGAGGCCACTGATTACGAGGGGTGTGATCCTGGCACACCATCACCAAATCACCTGGTTTCAAGTTACTGGTGAGTTTCAACCATTTTTGGCGTTCTTGCAATGCAGGCAGGTATTCACGTAACCAACGTGACCAGAAGATGTCAGCAAGGTATTGGACTTGTTTCCACCTCTTACGGTATTGGTCTTTAGCTTCGAACTGTCCAGGTGGTAATGTGGGTCCTCCACGAAGCACTAAAAGGTGGCTTGGCGACAGCGGTCTCTCATCTTGGACATCGTCAGACAACTTAGTGATTGGGCGGTTGTTGACAATGCCTTCAGCGACTGTGAGTAATGTCACAAGGTTTTCATCATCCATGGTTTGCTGCTTCATTACTCCAGCAAGCACGGATCGTACAGATCGAATCTGTCTTTCCCAGACGCCCCCCATGTGGGAAGCTCCAGGGGGATTGAATTTCCAATCAATTTCTCTTTTTAGGAGGAAGTTGTGTATTTTGCCTTGGTTCCATTGTAGTAAGGCCCTTCGGAGTTCTGCCCTGGCACCCGTGAAGTTGGTCCCATTATCCGACCTAATCATCCGCGGTGCCCCTCTTCGAGCAATGAACCTCTCCAAAGCATTTATAAAACTATCTGTATCAAGTGAATGTGCCACTTCAATGTGGATAGCTCTTATAGCTAAACAAGTAAAAATACAGCCATATCGTTTGACTTCTGATCTTCCCCTTTTAACATTAAAGGGTCCAAAATAATCGACGCCTACGCATGTAAAGGGTGGTTCATATGGCGTTACTCTTTCCTTCGGGAGGTCTGCCATAAGCTGGATTTCGGTCTTGCCTCTTGATTTTCTACAAGGTATGCACTGGGAAACTATTCTTTTGACAAGCTTTCTTCCCTTTAGGATCCAATAACGCTGTCGAGTTTCAGCCAATACTCGTTCAACACCTGCATGTCCAGTAACCACATGACAATCTTCAACAATCAGTCGCGATACATGGTGTTTGTGGGGCAAAATCAGTTGGTGTTTAGCATCATCGTCTAAATCAGCCGAGTTAAGCCTGCCCCCAACTCGCAACAGTCCTGCCTTAGACTTCACAGGTCTCAACTTTGCCAGCTGTGGTCTTGTGTCCGTGCTGTTTAAACTGTACTGTACATACTTCACAATAGCTAACTCTGACGCTTGCAACTCTCCTGCACTTAAGGGTCCAGAGGTGGTTGGTTTCTTTCGCAAAATTTGTTTAAGTCGCAGCATCCATGCTACTGCTTTCTTCAACTTAAACCAGGAGGAGTAGTAATTCAACAAGGTGTTGGTTGAATCGACATCACCTTTTGTGGAGTACACCACAGGGTTCCTTTTCACTTCAGCAATCTTGTCCAATTCTGTACACTTGAATGCGGGTTGTTGTGGCCATTGTGAATGACTCAATTTCAGAAAGTCTGGCCCATGGACCCAGCGTGAGCTGCTTACCAACTCTTCTGCTGTCATTCCTCGTGACGCATCATCTGCTGGGTTTTGGGATGTGGGAACGTATCTCCATTGCACTGGATTACTGTGAGCCAGTATTCGAGATACTCTGTTTGCAACATAGGTTTGGAATCTCTTTTCCTCATTTTGAAGGTACCACAGTACAATGGTGCTGTCTGTCCAGAAAACAGACTCTTCTAGGGTTAGTTCCAACTCCTGGCGTAGCAGTTTATCTAATCTCATGGCTTCTACCGCACCTGCAAGTTCTAAACGCGGTACAGTTGAACCTTTTAGTGGAGCCAATCTTGACTTGGCCATCAAGATGCCAACATGGACAGCGTCTTCCGTGGTCAATCGCAGATATGAAATTGCTCCGTATGCACACTCTGAAGCATCGGAAAAATGGTGCAACTGTGCCGTCTTGAATTTCACATCAAGTGGGTTCAAACATCTTGGAATTCGGAAGGTGTTCAGGTACTGCAGCTGGGACAGCCAGTCACTCCACTGATTTTCAAGGCTTGCTGTCAAACCTTCGTCCCAACCCTTGTTCAGTCTGCACAACTGCTGAAACAGTAATCTTGCCTTTAGTACGCATGGGCTCACATAACCCATGGGGTCGAATATGGTGCTTAGAGCACTGAGTACTCCTCTTTTGGTCTTTGGTTTATCTTCTATCTGCGCATCAAACTCAAAATGGTCCTGACCAACATTCCACAATAGTCCAAGGGCCCTCTCTGTAGGTAGCTTCTCACCACTTAGATCTTGAGTACCAAACGACTTGCCCCAATCCTCCTTGGGTATTGTTTTCATGAACTCTGGTGAGTTTGATACCCACTTAGTCAGATGGAATCCTTTCTCCGCGAGGAGCCTCTTCACTTCTTCAGCAACGGCGATGGCTGTATTTACATCAGCCAAAGACTTTAAACAATCATCTACGTAGAAGTTGTTGTTGATGGTTTCCATTGCCAACTGGTTTCCTGTTCCTTCGTTATCTTTTACTACCATCTTCAATGCGTAATTTGCGCAACTTGGGCTCCAGACACCACCAAAAAGATGTGATGTCATTCTGTATGGAATTATCTGGCCGCTGTTATCCCACCATAAAAATCTTAAAACATCTCTGTCTTTGACATTCACCTTCACCTGGTGGAACATGCTTTCAATGTCAGCCATGAAAGCTACCGGTTCCTGCCTGAAGCGCAGCAACACCCCTATCAGCTTATTCGTCAAGTCAGGACCTTGGTGTACATGGTCATTTAATGACGTTCCTTTGTGGGTAGCAGCACAGTCGAAAACTATTCTACATTTATCTGGCTTCTTGGGATTCAGAACTGGGTGATGTGGCAGGTACCACACCTTGCCATCATCTCGCTTCAAATCTTCACTCGGGACTTGTTCTGCATAGCCCTTTTCCAAGAGCTGGTGTATTTCTGTTGTATACTTTGACTTCAAGCTGCTATCCTTCTCAAGGCGCCTTCTTAAGGAGTGGAGACGGCGCTCTGCCATTATTCTGTTGTCATACAGGTTAGGTTCTTTGGCTTTAAAAGGTATATCCAACGAGTAGTGACCGTCCACAATTTCTTTAGATTCATCCCAAATCTGCAAGGTTTTATGATCATTAACAGACATTCCTACTTCTTCGCTGTTGGCTCCTTCCAGAGCCCAGAGCTTCTCAAGGTCACCTGTCAGCTCTGTCCTTTGCTGTATGAAGTGGGACGACCTTGCACTGTGACTGGATTGGTTTACTGGTCCATTTATTGCCCATCCTAAGGGTGTGAGGACTGCATAAGGCTCTCCTGGTCTGCCTTTTCTTACTTCTTGTGGCATTAAAAGGTCTGCGCAGTCTTGTCCAATAAGCAGATGCACCTTGTTCACATCTCGAATCTCTGGGATTTCCAGGTTGCTCAAATGTGGCCAATGCCTCAATTCTCCCTTATTAGCTAGTCCTGACAGGTCAATGTTGAGTCCCGGTCTCACAGTTACCTCGGGTACCTTCAGAGGGTTCTTGCTATCTTGTACATCGCTTACTAGGAGTGTTGTCACCGTTGTTTCAATCTGAAGCCTTTCTTGTGAAATAGTTGTCAGCTCAATGTGGCGCTTGTTTCCTGTTGCTCCCAGTCGCTTAAACAGCTCTTCGGTGCAGTAAGTAGCATTAGTGCCAGTATCAAGCATTGCATAGGTATCAACATAGGTGTTGGAATTCGGACTTCTCACTCTAGCAGGTACTATTGGGAGCGCAAGCTTTCCTTCCGAGCTATTGGCAAAGTTGCTAATCTGTGGAACAACTGCTGGCATGCCCTGGTTGCTAGGCTGTGGCACACCTGGTACAACTTGGTCGCTCTGTGACGGATTGCGTGTAGGAAAGTGAAGAAACTTGCTGTGCTTTTTCCCACAACCATCCACTGTGCATCGTATGGTACTTGGACATTCTCTGCTGTAATGTCCTGGCTTCAGACAATTCAAGCACAAGCCCTTTGACTGAATGAGCGTGTGCCTATCCTTTATTTTAAGGGACTTGAACGAATGGCACTGTGTAACAAAATGATTCCCTTTACATTTAATACATTGCTCTGTGACTTTCGGTGTGGTGGGTCCCGCTACAATCGCAAAACTCCCAGTCTTCTTCTTGATTCCGGTAAGAACAGCCTTTCCAAATACTGGATCTGAGGCCTCCTCTGCAGCTAGGGAAATAAAGTTAACTAAATCGGTTAACCTGCAATTTCTTTTCTCCTTTATCTTGATACTATGATTTTCTTTCAACCATCTGGTCCTCAGGTGGTATGGAAGCTTCTCTACAACTGCTAGGAGACTGTGGGAGTTGTCCATTTCAGAAGCATAAAACAAGCCATACAACCTCTGAATAAATTTAAATTATTAGTGACAAGTTATTCCCCCCCCCCCATTTAATAAGTTATTACTGTGCATATCCAGTGTCATCAGCATCTAAAGGTAAAAGGGAATGACTGTCTCATTTTATCAGTTTTCTCAAGTGCAACACTAATTAATCCACTTGAAATGATTTATACTGCATTTTTCAACCATTCTTTTTCCTTTCAAATGATTCATAGGCTTTGTAAATACATGTGAAATCTTTATATCTATATTCTTTTTCTATAAAGAAAATTAAAACATAGTCAGCAACATACAATGACAGGAGGAGTACTTTATTTTTATATTATCAATTGGACAGTAAAAGAACAAAGCAGTTACTTTTTACAGGAGTGAAATCAAGTTATGAATCTCCAAGGTTCCAATATCACGGTCATATTTTCCATATACTAAACACAACAGTGATGGGTAGTGTTCCGCAGATTTTAATCTTATAACTGATTGATCCCCAAGTTTCTTCTTCTGGTTGAGAGATCCAGGATCTCCTACAGTAATGATAATTCAGCAATCTTAGAATAAGTGTGGTAACTTGAAGCAACATGCCACTATAGTTTAGTGTGACTGAACTGTCAATTGTCAATATTTGTCAATTCAATGGCGACAATCCTTCTTTCCTACAAAACTGATTGAGATTGCCAAGCCTAAGATGCACATTTGTTATGGGGGATTGACCCAAGGTGGCTCTAAATCCAATAGAGGTTTGCCAGGCTATCCACTTCTTCGTCTACCTGAAGATGGCAGGACAGGCTGTCAAAAGAAAATGTATTAAACATATTTTAAACTCATGTCAATTGCTGTATAAGAACAATTACTAAATAATATTCTGATCAAACATATTGCATAAGTATAAAAAAGGAAATCAAATATGCATGATTGTAGCTACCAGAATTTCATGACAGAAAAAGAAACAAATGAAAAAGGTAAACCTTTTTTCTTCTCCGTGGAAGTGTTCCAGGCATTACAAAGTTGGTGCTCACATCTGAATCTGATGAATTTGCCTGTGCAATTTCAGGTGACTTTTCTATTATTGTCTGTAAGATTGTCCAGGTCAAGGTTCACATACAGACCTAGGATGTAAAATCTGAAAAATAGACATAACATCAATAAATGCTTTACAACAACAGAGGTTTACTGTGTTCAGAATAGAAACTGTAAAGTAGCAGGATCAATCTATCTTAGCGGAGTATCACACTCGGGCTCAGTCGTTGTAATCAGCTTAATTGTCAGGCACGCCCCCTTGCAAAGCAACATGAACAACATAATGGACCGCAAAGTTTTCCTGATTTTACTAAAGTACCTTTAGTTACAAGTGTCCTGTGTAATATGTAAGTCTTGAAAATTGAAGCACACTGTGTTACAAAGTCACATAAAGCTAGGCAGTTAAATTCAACTTCATTGTAAACACACATAAATCTGCATAGTGAATATGAAACTAAAATATAAAAAACTGGCACAAGTAACATCCCCTAAAATGCCAAAACTTGAACCTGAATGTGTGTTACATACCTTTGATTCTGGGTAAGAAATTTCTAATGAAGCTGTCTTCAAGCTCAGTATAGTCCTTAACTGTTTGTGTTATGATAACACATGTAACAAAGCCCTAGAATTTAATGCAAAAATATACTTCATAAGTTAGATACACAGTTAATTCTTTTCAGCATACATGTTTACCATGAAACAGAAATCAAGTAAAACTCTGTGAATTGAAATATACCAGTACGTCTTTTAAATTTGCTTAATATTCTTTATATTACTGAATAATATTCAAACTTATTATTTAAACTGGTTTGAGTTTTTAGTGTATCTGATTCTAGTATATGTATGCCACCACTGATCACTTACCTTCCAACAAACATCCAGAGCTAAATCGATGAGATAGATAGATATATTGAGGAACCCAAGCCTGACAACAGTCATAAGTCTGAAGTGGTTCAACCAAAAAATGCACTTTCTAAGGACGGCCAGCTGCTATGGTCATTTCTTGTTATATTCTGGTGCACACCAATCCTTCTGAGATGTACCTAAGCATCTCTAGTGCGTGTTCTTCATAAATTTAAGAAAGTATTATGTTTTAACACTGTGAAGACGATGTGCTTTGCTCCACAGTTGCTCCGGTGATAATCCTTGTACCCGCCATGTTGAAAATAGGTCACAGAGTTAGCATCGTTATTTTACATTTAGTTTCCACAACATAAACAAATTAAAAAATGTATTTTCGCTTCATAAGTTCGTCTGCAGGGCAAACATAATTATTTTAAGGGCTTTTCACAAACCTATACATGGTTTTGACTTATTAATTTAGTTGAAGAAACAGTTTAGCATTTAAATAGTATAAAAATATTCGTTTTTAGGCCCTTTTTAAAATTGTTATAGTTCTAATTTTACAAGGTTTAACATAGATTTTATTTTTCAAAATTTATTTTTCAACCCTTTTCTATCAGTACATACCAAAATTATATGGATACAACCTGCAAAAAAGAAGTTGTGTGCATTTAAAGAAGGGGAGGGGGTCAAGCATACGGAAAACATGCCTTATTAGAATCAACCTTGTGTGGTCATGACAGTGTCTTTTCAAAAAATCTGTACTGGGTATTAAAGGTCTTTCCTTAACCTATCATGTGGCTTACCTAAATAATTCCTTATGATGTACATGATTTTTTAAAAGAATATTTAAAATTATAACTTTTCAAGAGCTAAAGAATGCTATATTTTGGCAAAATTGCCAATAAAAGATCTGCCCCCATATCTCTAAAACTAATGATCCAAAATAAGAAAGCCAGTGGCTCACAATATCTTTTATGTTGATGGTTTACCACACCAAAAA